TTATTCTTAAGTTCAATAATTAATTATTTGTACGCTAAATATAATATGAGAAATATTAAGTTATACGACACACATTTTCTTTATTACCCTCGATTCTCTGTTCCGCTCCTATGGAAATACGAATATAACATCGGGACACTCTTAAAATAGATGGCGAAGTGGATGACGTCATCGCTCTCTCGTCCTATCTCTCGAGTGCTCTCGAGGCATCTCGTACGAATCGGGAGAATATGCGTCCACTTTACGCAGTAGTTTACTTCTCTCCTTGTCTTGCAATATATAGTGACCCTGTCGCTAGATCGACTAATAGCTATCGATTCTTTTTCCTCGTTCACCAGTTCATCTTTCCCTCTTAATATTAATATTGTATTAATGGTGTAACTAACTGTTAATAATGGGATAAGGCGATTCTGATACAGATGGAGGTAATTCGATATAATCCTTGTCGATCCATTCATCTTCACCGAACGGAGAAGCGATACCGTGCGATACAGAAGTTAACAAAGGTATACCATCTGGGCCTGATGTCAGGTACTTGATGACACTCGATCGATCGGCGAATCCAAGTCGATTTTGTGCGTTTTGCGGTCCCAATTCCTCATTGTCGTCCCGGTACCGATAAGCTTTCGGCAATTTTTTACCGAATCGAAAGTATTCTGGCAGACAGTGATGCTGACGACAAAAGTAATCTTGGCCCTCTTCAGCGTGGCACCATGTTCCATCCGGAAAGTATGGGTCGAGTCCAAGGTCATTTAATTCGACGCGTGGTGCGTAATAAGCGGCAATGTCCTTTCGCCGACAGAATATAGCGCAGGCCATCCATGGCATGTCGGTTTCGTGAGCCGCCTGCAATCCTTTCGCCGTGCCGTCCAACTCGGGTAATCTTTCGCTGAAAAGGCCACATTTCAGCGTGGCAAACTCGTCGATTGTTCTGCGTTTCTTCTTGCAAAGTTTCTCATCCTTGCACAATATTACATCGTAATACAGCCCTTTGCAATCTCTCGCCATCCTCAGACGGTTTCGATTCTCGCAGAATCGTCGCCTAACTCGGGCACCTTTGGATCTCTGCAAACAACCGCTACTGCAGGAACCTTCCTTCCATTCGCTCCAGCTATCCTTCTCGCTATCAAACGATTCCGGTGCTGGTTCGGGAACGGGTAGGCATTCTCCACCGCGGCATTCTCTACCGAACGCGCATCGAGTTCCTGCAGAAAAGAAAAAAAAAAGAAGAAACAAACAAATTAGTTTTTGCCGAACGCTAACAGACCTATTCGCTACGACACTTATGTACCGTCTAACGCTGGTCCTGCGAAATAATATCCACTCCTGTGAGGCGTTTTGCATTGCAAAGACTGACACGCCTGATACAATGTAACAACGTCCGCGTCCTTGTCGCGTAAAAGTAACTCGCACTGCTTCTTCGCGGTCCATTCTCTTCCAGGTGAATCGCGATACCGCGAATGATTGTGCGCGAGCGTATCCGAGAAATTTCGTGGCTCCGGCTGATCCAAGAGACAGTGTTTCGTTTGCGAAAGCATCTTGGCCACCTCACGGCTACAGTCGGACCAGACCGTCTCACCTCGAACGCCTCTACTGGGTGACATTATGTATCCATCCTTTGGACACGTATTGCCACTTGAATCATGTGGCATTCCTAAACTTTTAAATAAACAGATCATTCGAGCGTCGATATACTTACATATCATATCGCTCAAGTGTAAGCTTACTTGTGACCGATTTCATGAGCGGCGATATAAACCGATGTAAAGCCCGCAGACGGATACGGCTTACCAAGTTGATCCGTAACTCCCAATTCTGCTATCACGCAGGAATAATGTGGGATGCACAAACCGCCGACGGTGGCTAATCCCATGGTAGCGCCGTTCTTCCTTCCGTTTTCGATCGCGTAAAGGTCCAGCCCAGTTACGTAGAGGCCCATGTCCCAGTGATGGAAATGAGAGTCCTCCGGAGGATTGCGAGCGTTCGCGTAATAACAAAACGAATCCAACAAGCTACCTCTCTCGCCGCCAAAATGCGGTAGATCGATTGGCTGCCTTTGAATAATGTCTAAGCGTATCAATGAGATGTCGATTGAGACACCGAGACTCGGATGATGATACAGTGCCTGAATTCCATTAACGTACGCTAACAACATGTCACGAATCTTCTCATCGTCCTCATCCAGAAAAGGCGAGAACAAACGATACGCAGCCTCGTCGAAGAAGACTGCCAGTTCCAATGTTAAATTTTCTTTAGTATCTCGTATTAGGCGTCGCTTAGTTCTTTCAAAATCTAGATCAATGAACGGTGATCTCGATGATGATCGCTTGACTACATGAGGGTCACCCAACGGAAGACTGGCTTCTTCTTTAACATAATGGTCGTCGATGAGTAAGGGTGAAGATGCAAGGTCGTTTCGCAAAGGCGTGATCTCCAATGTAACGTTTTCCAGAAAGACGAGCCCGTGCTACCTCCAACAGAGATGCATTTTTTAATTTTTATTTTGTTTTACACGCACATTATTACACCGAGAGAGAGAGAGAGAGAGAGAGAGAGAGAGAGAGAGAGAGAGAGAGAGAGAGAGAGAGAAAGAATTAAAAAGTTTTTCTCCAAAAAATATCACCGACCAATCCATGTTCTTGACAAAAACTTATGGCTGCGGAACCTTCATGACTCTTGTGAAGATAATAACAAGGATCCGGTGCACTTAACTGCGACAATTCTTCCGTGATGCTCTTTGCATTGTGTTTCCAGACTTGAAACTGAGGCGATACGATGTTATCATTTCTACGTAGATTCAACTGGATCAATTGCCCAAAGACTTTGAAAGTTAAGGGAATCTGCAAATCGAATAATCATTAAATCAAATGTAAATAATAATCCGATTTGATTTATTTGATTCTTATACTTTTAAAGAATAAATTAAACTATATGAAATAAATAACAATAAATAAAGGGCGAAGTAAAAGTCAAACACATTTTTTAAATAGTCATACGATTAAAAGGAATAAATTACAAATAAAGAAAAGTAAAATTGAAAAAAATATATAATAAAAAACCTCAGTTTAAATTCAAATATAAAACGTTACAAGTTTCAGCTACTAGACCGAGCCCTCTTCAGACATTAACTTATCGAAAAAATCGCTGTACAAAATTAATTATCGAAAATGCCCGTATATTCCTTATAATAACAACTCGGGTGAGTCTTGATGTAGAACTCGACATTATTCACATACGATGAATAATGTCGAGTTCATTACATTGATGTCGTTTTTGTTGAACCGTTTAAATTTCTGTGTGAAAGGGAATAACAGGTCCCGTAAGCCAAGCTTTTATTCCTTTTCACACAGAGAAATTTAAACAAAAACATCGGGATCTTTTCATAGTCCTAATAAAATGAGTAAATACATTAAAGTACAAAAGGATATTTGTCCCTATATATTTAAGAGCAATGTAGTTTACAAGATTTCGTGTAATAATTGTGGTGTGTCGTACGTTGGACAGACGGCCAGACAGTTGAAAACCAGAATTACAGAACATCGTAATCATATTAGACATAATACTTCTGTCCGTTCTGTCATAACGGAGCACAGGCTGCAGTATGATCATGATTTCCAATGGGACAATGTTAAAATTTTGGATGAAGAGTCTTGCTATAGAAAACGTTTAATTTTTGAGATGTTTAATATTAAAAAGCAGAAAAATAGTTTAAATTTACAAACTGAAGGTCTCCATAAGGCATGTATATATCTATTGTAAATAAAGTTTTGATTCTTCGTTACTGACAGTCCGTCTCTTCTCTCAGTCCGTGTTGATCCGTATCAGCGAGCATTATAATCGGCATACAATGTCCGTCTCACACATCTGCGTTCCATTAAACTTTGTACATTTTAATTGGTTTTTCATATTTATATGGACAAACTTGTTTAAATAATTTACACATAATTTTTGGTGAGTTTTAATTACTTGTTAGAATTCCGGTATGTTAATTTGATTGTGTTTATTTTTTCGTAAGAAGAAATTTCTTTTTATTTTAAATAATTAAGTATTAAATCTTTTAATTTTAAGTAAATCTTTTTATTTTTTTATCAATTAGAACTTTTTCCAAGAGATATGAAACACATTTGACTGTTCAATGTCTAGTTCTATATCAAGACTCACCCGAGCTGTTATTATAAGGAATATACGGACATTTTCGATAATTAATTTTGTACAACGATTTTTGCGATAAGTTAATGTCTGAAGAGGGCTCAATCTGGTAACTTATAACGAAACTTATAACGTTTTATATTTAAATTTATTGTTTAATTTTACCCTTTATTTATTGTTATTTATTTTGTATATGAAGAATCCTTCTATCTGTTAATGTTAAACGATAATGTACCTCTGATGCGCCTTTCGAGTTCCATACTGGCAGCAATATTACCTCGGTATCTCTCGGTATATTACGCGCGTACACTTGGTTTAATAAAATTACCAACATCAACCTCATCAATACAGAGGACATGATCTTCATCATGTGTTTCAAGTTCAAGTACTTGGAAGAACGTAATTATAATGTCTCTTTATATATTTAAATATATATATATATATATACACACACATACGATATAAAACCCGTATATTCGTTATCATTTCGGAAGTTTATGTACAAAGTGCATGCTGGTACTTGCATTTAAAAATATGCATTGTGTCATTGACACCTACATATGTATAAGCTATTTATGTTTTCAAGTTTTGAGCAGAAAGATTAACTTGACCTATGGTACCAGCAGTGGCGATATAATTCGGAAAAATTGATTCATATAGCTGATATATATGTAGCACATGATGATAACAATAGTCGCACGCTTGACTTTAATTCGCAATAATTTGATTTTTCGAATTTTAAAATCAAAACTACTATCAAAATTTATTATTTATTGTACACTGATAAATTGCGCCTCGGTATAAAGGAGGTAATTAATACGATAATGAACACAAAGCGTTTTATTTAAATCGAAAATATCGCCAGAAAATTGCTATATAGATGTGCGGGAAGGTAGAAATAATAAAGAAAAATTTTACTTGTTACAAATAGTAATAGTATTAAAATATCTCAATAAAAACAATAAATAATAATTGCGATCAATAATAAAATTAATTTATAGAAGATTCGGCAGTGTATCTAGCATGCTTGGCAATGCTCGTTATCAACTATAAATATGACGTTTAGAGGATATATTAAATAATACGATAATCAATTTCTCACAGTCTAACATGATGATCCTTCCATATATATGTATATATATGTATAGGTATATATCTCTGTATTACAATTGTACTCTTTCATCCCAAATAACACTTAAAAATATTTGATACACGTGAGCATACATTATAGATTATGTAAATAATTTTTATGTCTAAAATAATTAAATAAGGAATCAAGTGAGACTTGGGATAAGCGTTTCAAATATAGATATTTTTAAGAGTAACTTGAAATAAAATAGTATAACTGTAATACACATGTATGTACAAAATGAAACCAAATTATATGTCAATACTTGACTACGATAAATCCAAAAAAAAAAACAATCCACGTATAAGCATAGATTTTCGATATTTCCGAACTATTGTAACAAATTTAAGATGTTTGAAGCGGTCGTTTGTTTTCGTAACGCACGTGCGTTATAGCACATCTTAAAATGATATTTTAGATTAAACGATAGATTATGAATGTGTACTGTGGATTGACATGTAATTAAGAATCGTCTTGTACACGACCGGAATAACTCGGCAATGTAAAAAAGAAAGGACCTTTATACATACAATATAGCATCGCTTTTGTAAAGCGTCAATTTGAAGTATTACTTGTTTATTCGACGTTTACTCGATTTATTTCGCAGCACCGAAAACCATGCATGATGCCCAATTATATGATGCATCATATAAAACTTTGTAAACTGACTCGCAACTGCCATTCTTTGGATATTTCGCACAGTCACACAACAATGTATGTAGATGTGTACCGAAAAAACAATTTGCCTTTAACTTTTCGCCTTGAAATACGAATGCATTTTTAAGTGACTATTTTTTATACGGTTCATTGCCATAATTCTATGAACCACAGTGAACACTTAGGTATATATCCTCCAAATGGTGGAAGATATAGCCGTATATAAAATTTGTAGCCAATATTTGCTACGAACACACAAAGGTTTTCCTGGTTTGTTCTTTTTCCTCTTTTTTTCAATGCCAATTGTTCGGTCTACTGTAATACGCCTGTAATACATACCGTCATACATACAAACATATATACATATCAAACGTCACATACGCGTACACGCGTGCGCATATGTACGCAGGCACATACAATACAATACAATATAATACATACATACGTACATTATGATACATACCTACATCATGATTCCTACAACGTTATGATATTTATTTAATGTATATAATGTGTATCAATCAAACCATGTGTATGCATTTATGTTTGTGTTATGCGATTTTATGTGCATATGTATACAGGCGTAGATTACGAGACCTTTATAATTTACATAAACATAGTATACAATTTCAACAATATTGTATTATTGTTAGAAGAGAGATAATTGGTGGTAATTATTCACAAGTGAACAAACTAAAAAAAATTTGATTACTGATAATAATAATAATAATAATAATACGTTAAAATGCTACATCAGTGAGAATAATATCAGATAACTCTCTTTCAATATCTGTAAATTTTTCTCAATATATAACACGTGTAATTGCTAGTAGCCTTGCAATCTTAATCAGCATAAACTTGAAATTCATGAATCCGTTAGTAATGTTCATTTATTCTTAATTATATTCATTGCATAATACAAATGTATTTGAAGTTAAATGAACCACAAGCGTTCATCAGCTTCATTGATCTCACTCAAATATGTTCACATGCAAACATATTTTTTTTTTCGTTCCTTTTCCATTAAGGCTTCTACTTCCTCACTGCGATATTAAAAATTCTACTGCTAGAATCGAGAAATACGAATTCATTTTTCTATATTATATATGTATAAATTAATTTTTTCGTGCTGTTTACAATTTTAACGAGAACAAATATCATGATAGTTAATAAGATTTGCAATTACTTGTTAGAATAACTAATTTACTTGATGTATGAATAAAATAAAAAAATTCATACAACTTTCCGATTCTCTTTCTTTACACACCGTTTTTCGATGTTGTTGCAGTGAAAAAAAACAAGTCTTAATATCTGTCCTTGATTTTATTATACAAGATACTTGTGTCTTTTTTTTATCGTAAGCGTGTACCATCCACGTACACGAAAAATACGAATCGTCAATGTATTATAAAAGAGAGTTATTATACATAACAAAACAAGAACAATAATTTAATAACTTTAAAAGTAAAAACAACGCTCATTTTGTTTCCCTCACCTAAGCTCGAAAGAAAAAGCAAACTTTCTCATCATTAATATAAAAAATTATCTTTCACACACAGTAAAATTAGGATTGTTCGTCATTCGAAGGCCATTGCCCGGAATGATTCCAATCCCAATCTTTGCCTTTAGGACGAAACTTGCTGGTACTTGCAGAATTACTCCAATCACGATGAAAAAACTTCTTCTTAAAGTGATGCCGCTCAGGATCTAGTTGTCGTTGGTATTTCAAAGGTACTGAGGAAGATGTTGCACTCGGGGGATTATTACTAGATGAATTTACAGGACGCGGGCTGGTCGGAGAAGGTGTTCTCGGCGGTCCTAACGCTTCGTCAGGAGAAGGTACTACAGGTGGTGGCCCTGTTACGACGCTATCCGAACCTAACCCACTGTCGGGACTTGTATTTACTCCTTCTGTCGATCGTCTACGTTTATCCAATTCTGTGGAAGCAAACGCGACCAAGCGATCAAATCCTGAGCTGATACGATCTTGCCAGTCAGCTTCTCCATCTGCAAAATAAATCTCAATTAATCGATGTAACATGCTTATAATAAATTAGCTTTAGATAAGCGATGTGTCACTAAATTTTCATAAAAATAAGCCATTAATTAGATACAGATATAGTATGATCCACAATTATCTTTCATACACTTATGCAATTATGTATCTTATAAATATATATTCTAGAACAGTAGAAAATTGCCTGAATTCAAATCAGTCTACATTTATACACTATGAACATTATTTATTGCATGCAAACATTTTAGATAATATTAAAGTAAATTTTAAGTGCTACACAAGTTGCTGTGTTTCTATTTAATGCATAAATAAATCGAACAAAGTAAAAATTAGAATCAGTTTTATTTATAATATTAATGCTCGTTTCTATCAATATAGAGTAAAAAATTTTTAGAACTAGAAAAAGATGAAGAGTTAGTTGAACCGAGATTAAAATTAAATTACATTAGTAGAATGGGCATAAATCACATAGCTATATATAATGAATCTTGTTTTCTTTAAACAAAATAAATTGCCTCAAATAAAATTTGAAGTTGTTATAAATATGAAATACAGCAAAATGTTAAATCGAATGTGAATTAAAATATGTACTAATATGTATTACCACACTAATTTTGTTGTGTGTTGAACTTTTTATATATAATAATTGTGATTAAACTGAAACAGCTATACTAGAAGTGGAATGCAAATAGTAAAATAAATAGAAAATGAAACAAAATTTTTCATGCAACATGCATTAAAAGTACAGTCCACCAATTAGAATACATTAGCTTAAACTCTGATTCAACATGCTATGTACATGTAATTCATTCACGAAGTAGAATTTGTATCTTTGCAAGTCTGGCTTATTTTCATGGAAACGGATTTCTAAATAGTGTCTTTTGTGTTGTTTCTCAAAAGAATAGAAGGGGCGTACGCTGCTCGCACGTGTGCCTATAAGGCAAAAAAGATGATATAAAATCTTTTATATATTTTACGGAATGAGAATCAAATAACAAAATGAATTTTGACCCCCGTGGGACAACTCACCGGTGATTGAACCGACGAACCAACCCACAGGCAGCCGTATTTTTTCATTTCTCCCTCTCATCTGTGTGTCTCAATCTCTAATAAAACAAGCTTCAGGGATTCTGAGATTGAGTATGTGACAGACAGAACTAACCAACAAACAGCTACAGTGCATCTAACAAATACAGCAAACAACAACAAAAATAAATATAAATAAAAGTCAGGTACCAGCTCCGTAAGATAAGCTAAACCATTAGTGCATGTAAATACGTGAAGAGATGCATTAGAAAAAAAAAATACCGTATCTAAATATATCTAGAAGGACCTAAGCGCAAAGTGGCATTTAGAGTTGTGTAGTGCAAAGATTTTTGTCGGCAGTACTATCATCCCTTGTTACGTATATGATAATGGATATACTCAACACGATGCTACAAATGCTTTAAAGCATTTCTTGATTGGTCAATTTTAAAATTCTTTCTTCTGATTGATCAATCAAACGCTTCGAAACATTTGTAACGAGACTTTGACTACAGCCAATAAGACTAAA